CCCCAAAACCCCAAAACCCCAAAACCCCAAAACCCCTTACCTTTAATAAAATTTTTATAGCCAAATGATTTTGAACTACCGGATGGTTAGCAACAAAGGAATTCATGCAATCAGTCGTGGATTTAGGTGAGATAATAGCCAGATTTTAAGTTTTGTCTACTTCGAAAGGCATATTTGGGATTTTATGAGAGAATTAAGGGGTAATTTAACATATAGAACCACTTTTAGAACCTTTTCTACTCACAATCAGGCTTCCCATAAAGAAGAAAATGATTACTACAAAATTCTTGGAGTAAAAAGAGATGCAAGTCAAGAGAAAATTAGAGAAAAGTAACCCTTTTTTTGACCTGTTGCTCATTTGATATAGTTACTTAAAACTAGCCAAGAAATACCATCCTGATACTGAAGGAGGGGATGGAGCCATATTCAAGCTCATTAGTGAGGCTCATACTGTACTCAGTGACAAATTTGAAAAAGAGTAATTGCCTTAATAATCCTTAGCAATTATGATATCTCAATTGGCAATTTTGAAGGAGGCCCAAGCATCTATTCAGATATTTATCAAAAGGACTACAAGTATAAGAAGGATACAAACCTAACTGAAGCTGAGAAAGAATTCCAAGAGCAAGAGCATATTAGAATCCTTGAAAGAAAACACAAAAGAGAGCAGAAAAGAATCCAAGCTTACATGGATAATTTTTCTGCAAAGGTAAAATTTAGTGAATGAGGCTATAAATAATTTATTAAAATTTAGTTTCCTGAAAGTCTTGATTACTTCATCAATTCTAAAACATGAGTAAAGTCTCTCATAATAGTCAGCTTATGTCGTTATTTGTGACTGTTTTTTCTGCATTCCTACAGATTTATCTGTGTTAAATTCAGCATACCCTCAAAGTAGATAGGATAACAATATTTTAGCCTAATCCGATCATTTAGACAATAATTTATCAACACATTTATCAATAATTTTCTCTAAAAATCTCTCAATCATTTTAGGGAACTGAGTTAAAAGCATTAAAAGAGCAGTGGACTAAAGAGTATGAACAACTCAAGGAAGAAGGAAGGGCAGAATCAACTTTAGAAGATTACTTAGGTATGCCTTCATAGATTTAATATTGCTTGATTCTAATGCTATTTTGTAGATAATAAAATGAATGAAGAGAAAGAAAATGAATTTGACTACCATGCACATAGGAGAAGGTAATTTCTACTGCTAAACTCTAAAGACAGCTTAAGAGATCACAGAAGTTGAACTTCTATTCCTTTAAGTTCTCAAAATTCTACCAATTGTTTGTAATTTTCCCTCTCTCATACATGGTGTACTTGTATATTTATGAGAAGAATGATCTTGAGAGGACAGCTCGGGAGTTTACGGCATTCAGGCATAAAAGTAAATAAAAGGACATTTCAATATTGGAAGATATCTAAGGGGTTTTGGGGTTTTGGGGTTTTGGGG